GAGAGGGAAGTAAATGAAACAACAGTTTCTTGACGACTGTCCCGGTAAGCGCCCTAGCGTCCTCGCATGCGATTACGTTGGCCTCAAATAAGATGGACTCGGGTCTGCTGTTCGCATTACTCTTCATGTTGCCGGTCGTGAACAGCGCGGGACTGGGGTCGATTATAACCACTCCCTACGCTTCGGTAGCCGTCATGCCAAACGAAGGGGATGAGTCCCGGAGTCTGAACAATGTTCCCGGTACGGCAGCTCCATCAACATATGTAGAGTCGAGCACAGCGGGGTAGACGTTTCAAGACTCCGTGAAGAGCGAGAGAGTAGACCGAAATGCTCGTCGGGTGATGGCCGGGACAAAGGTTCAGCACAAAATTATTGATGCCGAGAACTTGAGTGCGACGATTCCAGGTTCGACCTGAATTGTTATCTCTCTGGGACGACTAAAATCAATTCATGTATAGCTCAATAGTATGCACAATGTCTGCTAAATACTCATCACTGACATATGCCCTATGGGCCGCCTTTCGTCCGCGCTCGTGTAACGTGATCGTTGTTGTCGTCGTCGCTGTGGGCAAGCTTTCTATAGATGCTTGGTGCAAGAAGAATAGGTGTTAGGACAGGGATGGGTGGACGATAGCATGTGGGGTCGCGCGGCGTTCTTGGCCAGTCGTCAGTTGCCTGAGTCGGTGAAACGCAAGACAAAGTTGACGATAACGGAAACTATGCGGGCGTCAGCTAGTCGACCGAAGGGTATAATTTGACAGGTGTGCCTACTCAGTAGCGCAATGCACAGGAGAGTCTAGAATTGGGCCGTTAGCTAGAGAAGTATAGTCACGACTCGTACGCACCGGACCCAAGCGATCATCATATGGCCCACGGCCACCCTTGCGGATGGAGGCAGCCCGCCAGTGATACGTGTATAATGCGTAACCCATGATAGCGATCGCTGTGAACGCTATGACCCTTGGAACTCGTGTGACAGTCGTGAACAACACATACCCACGACAGAAAACATTGCTGCGCTAATTTTTCCGACCTACAGCCCCTAGTAAGTCTATACGCACGCCCGGTCAAAGGCTACACGACTCACCTTGTCGCCAAAATTCAGCAGACCGACCGCGAGCCCTCCGAGGATGACGGTGAAGTGCAGCCATGATAAGAACGTGCGCTCGTTTGCAAAGGAGACCTTGGGCTCTACTCTGACGGGGAGAGCAATGCGCTTTTGTGCCGTACGCTGGAGGAGGGGCTGGGTGGACATGACCTGGAGGACGACGGTGATGGCGGGAGATGGGAAAGACCTGGGAAAGACCAGTCGTAGAGATTTTGTGAACCGATCGAGTGCAGCGAGAAAGGAAACACGGTAGGAACGAACGTGCGCGGAGGCGAAGCGCTCGGCCGAGCCCTCGACACGGTCCGGCGGTCCGATCGACTTCACACGGTCGCGTACGGCCGGTGATTCCTCTTCGGAATCCGCACAGTGAGCAGACCCTCTGCGAGTCTACACCTGCAACCCTCCTATATTTGTGCCCTTTGAACTGCAGTACCGAACCTCGCTCCTATAGATGGCAAGTATCTCGCCACAGTCGGCCACCCTGAGTACCACTAAGGTGACCATCTCGCCTCCAACCGTCGAGGAAGAGGGTGAGTCCTTCTTCATCCCTCACGCGCCACATCTGGACCTACCCTCCAAAGATGCAATCATACACTCACGTATAACAAATGATGAACGCGCCTTGCGTCGAGTCATCAAGAAGTTCAACGGCTACTCTGCGGTCGCGCATGCACCCATCGCGCCTTCCACCCCCACGGAGTCTCCCGCGACAGCCATCGGTGACGCACGCGAGGCTTTCCTTATAGAACTTGCATCGTTCAGCCTACAGCTGAAGAAGGCCGTAATGGTGTGTGAAGCGGAGGCTAGGCAGGTGGAGGAGTACAAGAGGGAACGACAGCGAATCGGTGGGTCCGCTCCGATTGCAACATTGTCCACTGTCTTTACCATGACACATGTCAAATAGAGCTAGAGCACGGGTCACTCAAGGGCCACATCGAACAGCTCAAGACCTCCTTGGAGCACGCACAGCTGGAGCGAAAACAGAAGATCGAATACGACGTATTTGCGGAAAAAATCAACACTTTACCAAACCGGCAAGAGCTAGAACAGTGGGTCCCATGGCTCTTCATCCGCCCTTTACTTTGTTTAACACATCTTCGAAGATCAATTCAGCTTCTCGAAAACGACATGGCGGCGATTCGTGCCGAACACGACTCGCAAGATCGTCTCATAATGACGCAGAAGTCATCTCTCTTCAGCATCATATCAGACCTCGGTGCACTTCGACTCATGGGGAAAGAGACGGAGACACCTCACGAAGCGACTCCTGCCCCAGACGCCACAATGAGTGATATAGATGCATCACAGTCTTCGACGACAGTCATCATCGTTGAAGCGGGAGACGAGAAGGACGACGAGGTGGAGGAGGGAGAGGAGGCTGAAGATATCCACGAATCCTCGGACGACGTACCCCTTTCCGCTTCTCTGAATCCCAAAGCTAAACCATTTACCCCGACGTCGACGTCCCGCAACTCCATGCCCAGCGTTCCGACGCTCCGAAGTTTGCGGTCAACTTCAAGGCCGACGACGTCTACGCCCGCAAGCGTTGCGTCCTTGTCGCGTACCGCGTCAAAAGCTGCCGAGCCAGAGCCAGAGGACGATGATATCGAGATGGGTGAATTGGCGGAGGAGCCGAAGGATGTGAGAGGGAAGAAGAAGGTGCGAGAAGAAGAGCTTGAGGAGGGTGAGGCGAGCGACATGAGCAGCGAACTCTCAGACCCACCAGACGACTGAGCGTCTCATCCCCGGTACCATTGCACAGCATTTCTGCATCGTCCTCTTGTTATTGACACATGTCCGAGTGCCTTGATACTCGCAGCTACGTCTGTTGGAACTAATGTATCTCAAACCACGGAGGCAGCTACACGAAGAAGGCGTCGAGAATGGAAGAGCAGCAATGTTTTCCGTTCCAGGTGAATCAGTGGTCCGACGCGGATATATGGCGCTTCAAAGCCGCCGGTGTGTGTCGGCGGATCAATGGTATCCTCGAGCCGCAGCGAGCGGTGTACATAACGGAGAAGCTGCTTCCGGTGACATCGATGCCGACGCACAGTGATGCTTAGAGAGCCCGAGTTGTGATGTGGACGTAGCACTCATCGGCGGGCCTGTGAGCCCGGTCGAGCTTTACCCCACGCAGCTTCTATATACGAAGGGCTAGAATCAACTCGGAGTGCGGTGAAACGACACGGTCGATGGTCGGATATGAACGAACCTCGCAGGCTGCTACCGGCTGCATTGAAACCCTGCGCGATTCTTCGAACTCTTCTGACAGGGGAGGGAACAATCTAACCTAGGATGTTGGGCCGCCTTGCCACCATATCATGAGCGTCTGATCACAATTCACAAACTGCTGCACAGTATCACGGTCTCAATTCGATGTCGATACTCATCAAATCCCTCGTGCACACGACATCACCGTGGAACTCCTGCTGGGCAAGTGCCTTAATCGCCTCCATAATCGTCTTCGCTTCCTCGTCCACATCGTCGTTGCCAGCATAGCGCGCCGAGAAATGATTGAGCAACAGGCGCCGCGCCCCCACGCGCGCCGCGAACGCGCCCGCCACCTGTGGCGTCGAGTGCCCGCGCGACCTCGCCCGGGCCTTCACGCCCTCGTACGTGTCGTCGGCCTTCGTGTGCGGGTCGATCCCCGGGAGGTGCGCGTTCGTCGCCTCGTGGACTACCACGTCCGCGCCCTGCGCGAGCGCTGCGATCGCCGCTGCGTCGTACGTGTCCCCGAGGATGGCGACCTTGCGCCCGGGGCGGCGCGCGGGTCCGTGCAGCACCGTGCCGTCTGGTAGCTCCATGCTCCCGCCCTGTTGCAGACGCGCCATGGCGCTCATCGGCGTCCCCGTGCGCTTCAGGTGCGGGACGTACTGCGTCGGGTCCATTTTCCCCGGCACGGGCGCCTCGGCGACGACGTACCCGACGCAGGGCACCGAATGCCGTAGGGGAGCGGCGGAGACGGAGATCAGCTCGTTTTCAAAAATATTGGGCCAGATTCCGTCGGACTGTGCGATGTTTTGCCCGGTAGGAAGCTCCGACGGGTGCAGAGGGAGGGATGTGAAGTCTCCATCTGGGGGATCGGCGGGGAAGCGAAGCTCGTGCACGACGTACGGTGCGCCCAAGTTGGTATACGTGTAGGTGAGACCATTGCGAATATACGCCCTTGTTCCAAGAGGTCCATATATCTCTAGCGGCTGCCGTTGACGGCGTAAGATCGTGTGTACATAGTCCGGAAGTCCAGGAGCGCACCTCTTTGTCCGCCGCTTCTGCTGCCCGCGTGTCATCCCCCTCTTCGATCATTCCGCCGGCACCATTGAGACGACTCGCCATTAGTGCAAGAATTCCAAATATGTGGTCACCTACCATCTCGTTAGAGATTTCTCGCCGGAGATACTTCCTGCTAGTTGAAACAGGCTCGATGCACTCACCATGGGTATGTGTGATGAATATCTTCTCTATTTTGCCCATCTTGACGTGACTTCGTTGGATTTGATGTTGGGTCGCCTCGCCACAGTCGAAAAGCCAGACATCCCCCCCGAGTCTGAGCGCAAGCGCTGAGTGGTTGCGTGTCGAGGACGGCTGAGCGGACGCAGTGCCCAGGAAAGTTATGTTCATAGCCGAAAGCATGTTATGAACCGAGCGTGTTGATGCCATGCCAGAGTATCGTGGAGGGAACGCCGAGAGGAACAGAGTAGTCCGCCGCTTCGCTATGACTCGAAATCCAGTCAGAATTGGATGACGATACATGTCCAGCCATAAGACTAAGCAAACGAATACGTAGAAAGAAGGTCAGGTTCGACTTGAGTAGCCAGAAGATCCCTGTTCGCCAGTGAGCAGCGCAAAAGTGAAAAGGTGATGCTGTCCTCAAAAATTGTGTCCTCAAAAACAATGTCCCCGGCAGGAATCGAACTTGCGTCGCCACGGAGCCGGATTATCCACAACGTGGTGATCTAACCACTAATCTACGGGGACCGGTGTTTCTAATTTTACTAGAGTGTCCTGAGCCCTGCGGAGCACTGTGCGGGGGATCGTCGGCTTCTAGGATCGGCGCTTCACCGAACTTCTTCGAACCCATCCGCAACTTGCAAGCAACCTGCACGTACAGGCAACGGCCATGCCTGTTACAAGATCTTCCAATGCCGTCGCCTCTTCGTCGCGTCTCGCCGTAGATGGCTCTGGCGAAGATTCGGCCTCGGAGAGAGACCAGTCGTCTACGGACCTCAGTATCGAAGTGAGTGCACCTCCATCGCGCCTGAACATCTCCAGAATGTTGCAGGCCAGGCGCATCTCTCCCTAGCCCAGAAAGGTGTGGCAAACATGCGCGACCAGATCAGATCCCTGCAGCGCAAGAACGCGCGCCTGAAAGAGGAACTCGACAAGCTGCACAACGCAGATGATGTATCCATCCAGCCCAAACGCGGGAGGAGTGCGACCGGGGCGGTCCAAGCACAGATAAAGGGCCTTGAAGCTGACGTACGGAGACTAGAAAAAGTGCGCCCTCCCGATTCCAGTACCTCCTTGATAAGCAAGAATGTCTGACGGGAGTCCCGCAGGCGCGCGTCAAGGACAAGCGCAAGATAGAACAGGTGTGCGGCTGTCGAGGCCTCGGGTCGTGAATGAGAACTCAGGTCGTAAATGTACAGCTCAAGATGAAGGAGATACGCGCAGATGCACGGGACCTAGAGGATGACCAGACGCACGGCGTACCCGACACTGTCCATGGCATGCGAAAGGTCCGTTTTCTTGCGACTAGCTCACACGTCAACTCATCGGTCTTCCCACCTACCAGCTACTCCGGCGCTTCCAAGCCATTGTCTCTGGCAGCGTCATAGCCGAAGACGAAGAATGCCCTATCTGCATGGACACATTGCAACTCAGCGCTTCCTCTAGGTAAGTTATTTGAGTTATGCCACAATTCTGACGTGGGCTGACGGCCACGATAGCCTGCCGTGCCAGCACGTCTTCTGTGAGGACTGCCTAGCGCGCCTCGAGCAACTCGTGTGCCCGACGTGCCGTGAGAAGTTCGAGCGTGACGACGTAGAGGGTGTACAATACACGGCGGAAGAGCAATGGGACCAGTTACTCGACGTGGCTCAGCAGTTCGCGAAGATGGATAAGAACGCGGAGCCTGATACGAGTGAAGAGGAGGCAGAGGAGGCTGCAGCGAAGAATTTCATTAATGACGAGGACCCGGATGCAAGGTACGAAGACGCCCTGACGTGCAAATTCTAGGAGTACTGAACGAAGAGGCAGCTCTGCGTTGTCGGAATTGGAGGCGGAGACCCAGAGCGAGGCTCCACCAGCTACGCCTGGCCCTGCGGATGACGACGAGGAAGCCAGGCAGTCGTACGCGAAGTCCCCCATTTCGGCAAAGCGGAAGCGACTCCAGGAGTTGGCCGCAAAGCGCGAACAGAAACGACGCTTGCGATGACCGTTACGTGCTACAGTCGGATTCCTACTCATGCTATCGACATCTCTATACCACGTCTGATCTCTACGTAACTACTATGGATTACCGCGGATACTTCAAGGTCAACGTTGCATCACGTCAATTGACTCGGAAGGCATCCAGGCCTTCAAGAAGTCGACGATGTACGGCCACTGGCGACTGGAAAGTCTTCGACAGTGATCATTGCCTTGTGCAACAGATCTGTTCTCCGGACGTGGAGCTATTTATGATATGGACAAGCTACATACTGCAAGGTTAATCTTGCATTCGTGGTACCTGAGAACACGGTCGCACGCGAGGTAAGAGGCGTTGATAGGAGCGCTCGTCAGTAATTAGAGACGACGGTTAGAGTCATGCATACCTAGTAGCCCACTGGCATAGAAAGAGGGTAGAGAGGCTCGGGTATGGTCACCTAGTGGGACGGGGAATGCGACACGTCGGTTTTCCTCGATTTCATGACCGCTTGGCGTATGAGACCCGCAGTATCGAGGCCGAGCTGATAGTACCCATCGTTCGTCGCAGCTTCGAACATCCCCATGTGAGCCTGCACCTCGTCGGGAGCGAGGTTGTTGTTCGCCGGAAGGAAGTATGGTAAAGCCATCGACGATTTGGGTAATATAATGAAGGTGCGCGCAGACGGGTGTGCAGGGCGCGACTGTGGGATCAAGGTGTAGAATCTACAGGGATTCAAAATCTGAACTGCAGGGAGAAGGAAAGGCGAGACCTACGTTCGGAAGAACACGCCATGCTCCTCTTCCGCTTGCACTAGCCTCACGACTCGCTCACCAAGTGCCTTCTCGTCCCACAAAGTCCCCACATACTTCATATGGTCCGACAGGGCACCGTACCCTGATGTTATATCCGTGCGCTTGTAGTATGCCGTCCCCGCAGCCGCGCCAGCGAGCAACGCGCCTCCGACAGTATACGCGGCAGGCGCCCACTTTGCCCAGGGGCTCGCTGCCGTTGCCGCCTCCGCAGTAGGTGGTGCGGTGATGAGACCGGCCGGGGCAGCGCCGGGGGCGGCGGCGGCGGATTTAGAGCCAAACACACCCCAAACGCCAGACGCGACCTCGCGAGCCGCTTGCGCGTACTCTGCCGCTTTGGTCGCTGAGTTCTTGAAGACGCCAGGATGTAGGCCGAGGTACTGTACAAACGTCGGTAGTGCCCGGAACCCGCGAAAATGAATGCACGCATACTGGAGTATCAAAGGCGAGGCAGGCTATGATGTTAGGCCAGAGAGGCGCCTGAGGGTCGGGTCGTGTGTCCAGAAAAGCTAAGAGGGAATCGGCGGCGAGGAGGCCGCCCATGCTGGTAAATCATTTGAGCGAACGTGATGCTCCGATAATACCTGATACAGATCGCACCTATGGCCGCACAGAATGATCTTGGCCTTGCCTGCGCCTCCTCCAGCGCCATTGGCTACCTCCCTCTCCACTGCGAGCGTAGTGAGCCAATCGGCGAAACGTTCTACGGCCTTATCCTGTAACCCCCGGGGTCAGCCGCCTCCGAACCAGGACATTGGCGTGAAACTCATTATACCAATTCTCCTTTCGTCTGAGGGTCGTCAGAGACATACTATCGTCGTTGGGTTTATGTCCTACCTCGTACGCGGGGAACACTATACATTCTACTGTGACACCTTCGATCGTTTCGGTGAGAACGTGTTGCAGGCGGTTGGGGAAGCTCCCGAACGTGGTATCAGTCCCTTTGAACCTGTTTAAGACGTGAGAGTGGACGGATGCAGGTTAAACGTGTCACCCACCCGTGTATAAAGATGACAAGGAGGATTTCCGGTGGCAACGAACTAGGAGTATGGGTGGTAGCCTGTAAGTGAGCACGATCGTTGTCGTCGCCGAGATTGGGTGTTGAAGAGGCGGATTCTGAGTCTGCCCAGGGAGAAGGTTCAGCAGGTAGTGTGTTCATACTGGACTCAATAGTTGCGTTCGTGAAATGCGTTGTTGAAGGTTGTGCTAGTAGGAGTGCCAGTGCGGCTGTGTTCGGGCCGTCCCCTTCCGTAATCCATCGCACCAAACTCCCACGATCAGAACATTGTTGGTTGGTTCTGCCAAGCGGGCGGGCGCGATCGTAAGCAAGGGCTTGTAGACCGTGTTTTTGTACTGTCTTACAGTCGCGCAATGACACAAATGAATGTCGACACATCTACCCTATGGATACGTTGCCGGCTCCATCGAACCGATATCTATACGGTGTGCGATGAGGAGCTTGCAGCGGTCGAAGGTACACTGCGCGGAATCCGAGGTAACTTGAGGTAACTGTACAGCTGGGGATCTCCATGACCATGCGACGCGGACTTCATGAAATACGGTAAATATCGGCATAGAAACCGCCAGCGATGACTCGACCGAGGCCGAGCCCTTCTGTGGGGTCCCGCCGGGTATCCCACTCCGATCTTGACAGATCTCGTTCTCATCACGACCTGCGCGAGCCCGTCGCTCTTCATCGCAAGTTGGCCACAGTCGCCAGCCTTCGCCAGCGCCATTCCCTCCACATCTGCCGTATCCTCCCCTTCGCTCTCGGCTATCACTGCCATCGTCGCCTAGATAATCTACTCTGTCTCGCACCGGCATGGAGGCGCTGCAAGAGGGCAGAGCGTCTCTTATATCCGAGGTGCACCTCGGAACACCTCCCTCTCCGGCTCTCTTCAGCTAGGCGGCAAGTCGGGAACGTATGCGTCTGGATTGAGGTATCCGAGTCGGTCCTGTCAACACTCTCTGATTCCATTGGCAGTGAATTGTGCTTCGCCGCGTCTAGGATCAGGACGGAGAGCCACGACACGGAGTCCGAGCCAGGCTGTTCGGTTCAAACTAGTACTAGTATGGTACGCGGAAAGGCGCTTCTGTGGCGTACACAAGGTGCGTAGCATGACTTTTGAGACACAGCACGGTTGGCATAGCGCAATGACGATGACGCTGGTGCCCAATTCCGTCGGTTCGAGTGTTCTCTGACATGGTGGCACTCCGTGATACGCAAGTACCAGCATGTTCTAGGTGCCTTCTGACGTTTTCTGTCAGCGTGAGCGCGCAGGGCCAATGAAGGTGGATGGCTTCGGATACGGTGATACTAGGGCTTACCCGTGCGTTTCCACTGCACTGCTTAATGCCTTAGTAATGGTCGTTCGATCGAATTCTCTCTTGGCCCCCAGTCATCTCCACCATCCCGAGTCGGCCATACGTGCCACAAACGGACGCTGGTGTATGGCTTTCGATGGACAGGTCCAACTTCCCTCCAGGCCAACAAAGTCTCGTATGTACGTTTGCGTCATCATCTTGCTCAGATCTGTGCGTACGCGGAATCCCGGTCCATCAATTTACGTTGATCATGTTCTGCTTCTAGGAGCCACAACTTTGCGGTTCCGGGGATCGGGCAGACTATATTCGTTACCCGATGGACGAACCTGAAACGGTACGTCCCAGGTCCCCATGTCCACTTCTCGACGCATTACCAAACTTGACTTCAAACGTCAGCATGCGGCGGAGCAAGTGGTCGACCCCATGGCGGTGAC